TTACTGTAGCAGTTCCAAGTTTGCAGTTTCCATCCATTTCCTTTGTGCAGCAATAACAATTAATTCAGTTTTAAACATTTCAGATCAGCAGTTCCTACCACTTCCCCAAATTTATTAGAAATAATTGAGCAAAAGTAACAACACAAGGAGTTGATTTGAAACCTAGGGCAGTGCTTATCAAAGTGTGAGTAATGATTCTTTAGTGGCACAAAAAAAAGTCAATTTTGTGTGTCATGCTAGCAATTTAAACAATGAAATAGAACAGAGTAGGAAATACTAAAGTGTACCCATGATGAAAGGTCTGATTTTTCATGATATCTTCATTCCAATTATGTGTATAATTATTGGATTGTTACCTAAAATTTATTTTCCATGTGGCACACATTCTTTCCCAATTGTGTCCAAAAAATTTGAAAGTCATTTTCCTAAAAGATACACTAATACTGCTCAAGGAATAGGATCAATTCCAAGTAGCCACTTCTTAAAATTGGTTTAATAGCTTGATGACATAATAATCATGTCCCCAGTGGGGCCCCAAACCTCAATTACATCATCATAGCTTCCACAACATAATCAACACCTGATTCATTCACCACACTGGGCTTGAAATAACATTTCGTTAGTCCCCCAAATTGAACTTGTCTCTAAGAGATGAGCATTTGCTACCACAGAAACCATGCACAGGAATTTGCCATAGATTCTCAAGCCAATACTAAAAAAAGGAGCTTGTAAAGTGTTTTGAGCAGCATCATTAAAGTTAGATTCAGATCATATTTTCTAGAACTTCTGAAGCTTGTGTTTATATATTTAATATCACATTGAATTATAATTATTGTATAATTTTCTGAGAATGAAATTGAGTTCCTATCCTATAGGAAGCTATTACTTCTGCATTTATGTATGTGTACACATATTTATAGTCTGGCATGTAATAGACATTTAATAAATGTTTGTCAAGGAGATGGTACTCATTTTGATAAACATATGTTTTGAAACTTAATGAGTGACTCAAGGCTATAGCATATTTCATCATGTTTCTTGTCCACATTGAAGAATATGCTTTTCAAAGTCTCTCAGCTCTACAAAATAGGGCAATAGGGAGTTTAAGATGCATACAATTTTAAATCAAAGGAATGAAATTTAAAACAAAAATGAGCTATTTTTGATGTCAGAATATTATGGACATACAGGCAGAGAAATAAACACTCCTATAAAGCTTTGTGATATAGAAAACTAAGGAAGAGAGTTTGAAACTACATATAAATACTATTTAAATATGCTTCCTCTCTGATACACATAATTTGCATCTAGTTCTTTGTGGAAAAGTTTTAAAATATGGACACAGGGGCTGACGTTGTGGCATAGTGGGTAAAGCCACTGCCTGTGATTCTGGCATCCCAAATGGGCACCAGTTCATGTCCCAGTTGCTCCACTTCTGATCCAATTCCCTACTAATGGTCTGGGAAAGCAGCAGAAGATTGTCCAAGTGTCTGGGCCCCTGCATCCACGTGGGAGACCTGGATGAAGCTCCTGGCTTCAGCCTGGCCCAGTTTTGGTGGTTGCAGCCATCTAGGGGATGGAAGATGTCTCTCTGTCTCTACCTCTCTCCCTATAACTCTAAGTTTCAAAATAAATATATAAATCTTCAAAAATAAACAAAATAAAATATGGAACAAGGATTTTTTTATTTGACAGGTAGAGTTATAGACAGAGAGAAAGGTCTTTTTTCTGTTGGTTCACCCCCCAAATGGCCGTTATGGCTGGTGCTGCGCCGATCCAAAGCCAGGAGCCAGGTGCTTCCTCCCGGTCTCCCATGTGGATGCAGGGACCCAAGCACTTGGGCCATCCTCCACTGCCTTCGCAGGCCACAGCAGAGAGCTGGACTGGAAGAGGAGCAACCAGGACTAGAACCTGGTGCCCATATGGAGTGCCAGCGCCGCAGGTAGAGGATTAACCAAGTGAGCCATGGGCCCGAATAAGTATATATATTTTTTTCATTTTTTAAAATTTTTTGACAGGCAGAGTGGACAGTGAGAGAGAGAGACAGACAGAAAGGTCTTCTTTTGCCGTTGGTTCACCCTCCAATGGCCGCTGTGGCCGGCGCACCGCGCTGATCCGATGGCAGGAGCCAGGAGCCAGGTGCTTTTCCTGGTCTCCCATGGGGTGCAGGGCCCAAGGACTTGGGCCATCCTCCACTGCACTCCCTGGCCACAGCAGAGAGCTGGCCTGGAAGAGGGGCAACCGGGACAGCATCTGGCGCCCCAACTGGGACTAGAACCCTGTGTGCCGGTGCCACTTGGCAGAGGATTAGCCTACTGAGCCACAGCGCCGGCCCCGAATAAGTATATTAAAACCAATGCTTTATACAATAGATAAAACTAACACTTGGAGATTAGTAAATTATGATAATTCTCATAATACAGTAATATGCAGCCATGAAAAACAATGTTCAAATACACTGGCATAGGAAGAGGCTCAGAATACACAGTGTAAAGAAACAGAACTATATGGAGCCTGCTTTGTGTTGTGGTGGCTTAATCCACCGCCTGTGATGTTGATGTCCCATATGGGTGCAGGTTGGAGTCCTGGCTGCTCCACTCCCCATCCAGGTCTCTGCTAATGCACCTGGGAAAGCAGCGGAGGATGGTCCAAGTCCTTGGGCACCTGACACTCACGAAGGAATCCTAGATGAAGCTCCTGGATTCAGCCTGGCCCAGCCCGGGCTGTTGCCAGTCATTTGGGGAGTGAATCAGTGGATGGATGGTCTTTCTTTTTTTTTTTTTTTTTTTTTTATCTCTCTCTATCTGTGACTTTGTGTCTCAAATAAAATAAAATAAATAAATAAAAAGAAACCAAGCTTTAAACTGCACAATGTCACTTAAAAATTTATGAGGTAAAATTCATGAAATAAGGTTACAACACTTTAGTAACTGTTTAGTACATTCACAATATTGGGAAATTGCTGTCTCTATGAGGGCACTTCAAAAAGTTCATAGGAAAATGGAATTAAAAGATGTTTATTTTGGTGCAAAACCTTTTGGAACCCATGCCTAGTAATTTTCATAGTACTAATTATCCATGAATTTTTGAAGACCCCAATATATATAGATTTCACATTTTTAGAGCCAAAATAAATTTTTATTTTAGTCTCATTTTGCACACACTTTTTAAATACCCTGTATTCAGCTCCAAACATTTTTATCACTCCAAATGGACAGCTTTACCCATGAAGCAGTTGTTTCTTGATATGCCCTCTCTCTAGCCCCTTGCAATTACCTATCAGTATTCTGTTCAGTAGATTTACCTATTCTGGATGTTCCATATGAATGGAATCACACAATATGTGACCTTTTGTCTCTGGCTTCTTTCATTTAATGTTTTGGCGATTTCTTTACCTTGTAGCAGTGCGTTCTGGTTTGACAATATTCTGTTATATTTACATCTATATATGTGCCCCAGTATTTGCTTATGTATTCATCAACAGATGGACATTTGGATTGTTTCCACCTTTTGGCCATCCGGGATAGTGCTGCTCTGATCATGAGTGTACTATAGAATATCACTTATTGATATTGATATTGATAACATGTGTTAGCAGAGAATAAATTCAAGAATATTAGCAGCCATATTTTTGGGTAGAGGGATTACAGGTGAATCATTTTATATTATTTAGAGCATTGGGATTCAGAATTAATCAGACCTGACTCCATTTCTTCAAATGTAAAGTGAGGAAAACAAATTTAGATTATTGTGACGAGAAATGAAATATATGTAGTGTTTTGTAACACATGGGGCACAAGTACTAAATTCACTGTATCTTTTTAAAAAATTCCTTTTTGTTTGCTTTTTCTGGTTACGTTTATTTACATTTCCCCTAACAGATTACACAGTGCTCAATAAAGGGTGCGCTTGGGACACCCACATCACATATCAGAGTCTCCTGCTGTTCTGCCTCCGATCCAGCTTCCTGCTAATGCGCCTAGAAGGCATTGGTTGATGTTCCAAGTACATGGGTCCCTGCTACTCAGGTTGAAGATCCAGATAGATCTTGGGGCTGGCAAATGGTGGTGTGAACTAGTGGATAAACGATCTCTCTGTTCCTCTGCCTTTCAAGTAGATGAAAATAAACATTTTAAAACAGACTTATTTTTTTGGTTAGTTTATGTTATATGTGTTAGCATATTACACACTTAAGATGCCGTGTTCCTTTTGCCGATGGTCATTTGGGCTGGCACCAAAGGCTACAGGATTGTTTGATCTGATAATTTCACTTTGACTAATACAGATCTACAAAGGTGATTCTCCACAAGCTTCTATTCAAGTAATTCTCCAGCCCTCCGCCTAATTCCTCTTTCTTTCTAGTCGTTGTTTCTTTTTTATTAAAATTTTAAAAAAAGATTTATTTATTTGAAAGTCAGAGTTACACAGAGAGAGAGGCAGAGAGAGAGAGGTTTTCCATCCGCTGGTTCACTCCCCAATTGGCTGCATCGGAGCCGCGTTGATCCGAAGCCAGGAGCCAGGAGCTTCTTCCGGGTCCCCACGCGCGTGCAGGGGCCCAAGGACATGGGCCATCTTCCACTGCTTTCTCAGGCCATACAAGAGAGCTGGATCGGAAGTGGAGCAGCCCAGCCCCGCCAGCCGCCTCTGGGCATTGTTTCAGCACTGATTTCTATGTTGCAGACTAAACCGCCCGCCCCCCCCCCCCCCCCCAGGCTGCTTCTTAAGAATTACTACAGGGACTCACGGGCTTTCTCATTGCACAGCAAGAAAAATACATTACGGTCAGATATATCCTAAATACATTAAGCATTTCACCTCCAACATCCTTTTTTTCTCCTTAGAGTAGCTCAATTTTCTTCATTGTTATCTCAAACTTTGCCAAATACGCCCAACTTGCACACAGCTCAAAGGTTACCGCCCGGACCTCTTCCGGCTGCGGGCAGGGACCGTCCTGCCTCTCTGGGTTTGGGAAGCCTGCCTTCCCTCCAGCCGCCCCTAAGTCCTACAGCGCTGCAGTTGTGAGGGGAGCCTCGGGAGAGCTGCGGGGTCACGGGCGCACACGCAGGGGCCGGGGCCTGGCGCTCCAGAGCCCCGGGAAGCCAACGCCAAGGGGCCGCATTCCCGCAGCCCAACCCCGGGCGTTCAGGCCGGCGGAGAGCAGAGCCGGCCCGGCCTGGCCCGCGCAGGTGTGTCGTGTCAGCCCGGCGCCCGCGCCGGGGGCCCTGGTGGGCGGGCCTACGGGAGGGGGCGGGGCACCGCCCTACGCGGGGTTGGCGCCGGAGGGGGGGGTTCCTGTGAGGTGGCGCTCCGGCTCCTCCTCAGGTTTCTCCTCTCCGCCCGCCGGCTGCTGGCTGTGGCGCCGCCTCCTTGGCTCTCTTCCTCCCTGGTTCCCTCCCTCCTGGTCGGTGTTTGGGCCCACTCTGCGGCCTCTGTTCGTCTCCTCTCGCTTTTTTTTCTCCGCTTCCCCTCGAGTCTCCGAGGAGTTCGCAGCCGCGGGGCGCCCGGAAAGATGGCGGCGGCGGTGGGCGACGACGGCGGCGAGGGGGGCCCGAGCCTAAGCGTGGCAGAGCCGCGGCCAGAGCTGGGGCCGGAGTCGGAGTCTGAGGCGGGCCCGGAGCCCGGGCCCGAGCCGGGGCCAGAGTCAGGGCCGGAGCCCGAGCCCGAGCCCGAGCCCGAGCCGGAGCGGGAGTCGGGGCCGGAGCCCGGGCCTGAGGAGGGCCCGGAATCGAGGCCGAAGCCCGAGCCGGGGCCCGAGTCGGAACAAGAGCCCTTGTCGGAGCCGGGGCCTAATCTGGGGCCGGAGCCAGGGCCGGAGCCAGGACCCGAATCGGAGCCGGGCCCAAAGTCGGAGTCGGAGCCGGAACCGGAGCCGGGGCCCCCCGAGCCGAGCAGCTCCGCTGAGGCGCCCGAGGGCGGCCGGAACCTCGCGCCCGCGGCGCTGCCCCCCGAGGAGGTGACCGCGCGGCTGCAGCGGATGCGGCGCGAGCTGACCAACCGCAGGAAAATCCTGGTGCGAAACCTGCCCCAGGACTGCAGCTGCCAGGTATGGGGACGACGCGTTCCGGGGCTGCGGGGAAAACCCGAGCTTCTGGGCTGAGACCCCGCGCCATAGCGTGGGGGTGGGGCGGCGGCGCAGGCTGAGACCGGGCTGCGCTCGCTCTCGCGGAGCCCTTCGGGTGTCCGAGCCTCCTGACTCCGTGCGAGGGAGCGGGGCAGATTAGGAAATCGAGGCTGCTGGGGGAGGGGGGGCGCGGTTTGTCCAAGGTGGCTGGGGTCACGGTCGGCTACCTCCATGTCCGGCCCGCCTTTCTCTTTGGCCCATGGGAGGAGCGTGGAGGTGCGCCGTAGAGCACAGGTGTGGAGGCGGGGGACGAGGGTTCGAGAACGCCGGGGCAGAGGGTCCTTCGTGGGGCCCTCGGGCCTAGGGCGTGCCATGGTGGGCGGGGACACGGGAGAGCTGGGAGAGATTTAGTTTGTGTGTAACAACTCTGTCTCCCAGGGCGGCCAAGGCCTCGGAGCAGGGAGCTTGCAGCGTGTTCTGCAGTGCCAAACTGAGGGATTTGTTGCCCAGTTACTCGGATGGGGTTTTAAAGATAGACTGTTCTGTCTTTAATCTAGACTGTTGCTTTGAGATTAGAAGCTCCGCGGCCTTTTGACTTTTTTTCCCTAAACATTGGAAAAGTTACGTGCTGTCGTAGGAAAGCTAGAAAATACGGAGAGTGGAGGGGAAAAAAATCACCTGTATTTCTGGTACTCTAAGATAACCATTGTTGTTAACCTGGGATATTATCTTTCTTTTCCTCTGCGTATGTATGCATGCTATTTTTGTTTTTATCAAAAAAATGAGATCTTTTTTGATTGAGTGTGTCTTCATTGTAAGGATGTGAACATATTTCATATGTGACTTGAGTTTGTATATTGATTCTGATGGGCTGTCCTGGTATTTTTTAGATTTTTGAGCCCGCTCATGTCGTTCTTACTATAACTGGAGGCATGGAATTGCGGGATGACTGGCTACTGACAGTTGTCTGACAGTTCTAATGTATGACCCATAAAATAATGAAACTAATGTCCCATTATTGTATAATTAGGCATGACATAGCCATTCACTATAAATGTGAGTATATAACTTTATAACTCATATGCACGAGGGGCCATTTTGTTTCACGATGCAAAGTGGCGAGGGCTGGTGTTAAGCAGTTAAGATAGAGCTTGGGACACCTGCATCCCATAGTTGAGTGTCTGGTTCCAGTCCCAATTAAGCTTCAGATTCCAGCTTCTTGCTAGTACTCTGAGAGGCTGCAGATGACGACTCAAATAATCTTTGCCTCCTTCCGTGGAAGACTTGGATGGAGCTTTTGGCCCTGTCCTGGCCCTGTCCTGGCTGTTGTGAGCAGGTAGGCAGTGGGCCAGCATATGGGACATTTCTGTCTCTCCAAAAATTTTAAAGATTTTATGAAATGCAGTGTAAAAAGTCAGTATTGTATATATTATCCCTCTGTCAACTCTTTGCATTCTGCCATTGTCTACTTCCATCTGTCAGGTAAATTTTGTGATGCTACATACCAATAAGGACATTTGCAATGGACTGTTTACTTAGAAGCAACTTCCTTGCCCATGTAAATAATCAAATAGCAACTTTGTGTGTAGATAATATGGAAGAGAAATGGAGAAGCGCCTTGATTTCCATTGTAGAAATCTTATTTTTGTTTACCACATTTTATTACATTAATTCTGAAAGTATTTAGGTTAAATATTCAAGGCAGTTTTACGTTTTTTTTTTTCCTCGTGTCTTCTCAAATGGTAAAGAATAGTTTTAGACTTGTTATTAGTGATGAGAAAGACTTTCTGAGAGTTAGTGTGATTTACATTTTTGGTGTATTTTTGTTACGAGTTTATGTTTAGCCTAAATCTTAGGATTTCCTGTAAAGTAGCATGCATAAACTAGCAAATAAAATTTGTGTAAATTCTGTACACCACATGAATTTAATCCCAAGTGAAGTATCTTATGCCATGTTTTTTAAGAGGTGAAGAATTGGGATAGTGTAAAATTGCTACCTGGGACACCGGCATCCCATTGGTAGTTCCACTTCAGATCTAGCTCCCTGCTAATGGCCTGGGGAAGCAGTAAAAGAAGGCCCAAGTACTTGGGCCCTTGCCACCCACACGGGAGACTTGGATGAAGCTCCTGGCTTCGGCTTGGTCCGACCCATGCCATTGTGGCCATCTAGGGAGCGAACGAGTGGATGGAAGATCTCTGTCCCTGTCTTTCCCTCTCTAACTCTTTCAAATAAGTAAATGAAATTATTTAAACAGATTGATTGGTTTATTTGAAAGGCAGTATTACTGAGGGAGAGAGAGAGAGAGGGAGAGAGGTCTTCCATCCGCTAGTTCACTCCCCAAATGGCTGCAATGGCTGGAGCTGAGCCGATCCTAGGCCAGGAGCCCGGAACTTCGTTCTGATCTGCCATCTGGTGCTGGGGTTCAAGCCTGGTGCCATCTTCTGCTTTCCCAGGTCATAACAGAGAGCTGCATCGGAAGTGGAGCAGCTGGGACTTGAACTGGCGTCCATATGGGATGCAGGCAGTGCAGGCAGTGGCTTTACCTGCTACATGCAGCGCTAGCCTCAATAAATAAATCTTTAAAAAATTTTTTTTTTTCATCAAAAAGCAAAGTTAAGAACAAGACTTTTTCTCAGATTTATCCTAGCATTTACTGTACCCATAATAGTTTTCAAAATAAAATGTAATTTTTACTATTTTTGTATATAATTTTTTTAAAAGAGTTTATTTATTTGAGAGGTAGAGTTACAGACAGTGAGAAGGAGAGACACAGAGAAAGGTCTTCCATCTGCTGGTTCACTCCCCAAATGGCCACAACGGCTGGAGCTGGGCCAATCTGAAGCCAGGAGCTTCTTCAGGTCTTCCACTTGGATACAGGGGGCCCAAGCACTTGGGCTTTTTACTACTGCTTTCCCAGGCCATAGCAGAGAGCTGGATCAGAAGAGGAGCAGCTGGGACTGGAATTGGCACCCATATGGGCTGTCAGTGCTGCAGGTGCAGAGGATTAACTTCCTGTGCCACAGTGCCAACTCCTGGTATAGAATTTTAAAGTCTAAAACAGGCCAGTCTAAAACCTGTAATGTTTGCTTAAGCAGTAGCCTTTATTCCTGTCATCTTTAGTACTTGTACTGCTCTTGCTAATTTTCCAGTCATAATCAAATCATGTTATAACTGTTAGTAGTTTGTAAAATAGACAAAGTATGCTAGTTTAGAGTCAGTTAAAGGACAATGTTTGTTGTAGTTTACTTATACCAAGACTTGCTATTTTTATTTGTCCAGTAAGTTTCATATTTAGTTCATGCACTTCCCAAGTTGCAGTGTGTTCATGGCTGTGTTCTATGTGGTTTGTTTGCATTTGCCTTTTATCAATTTCCTTTAACAATTTTCATGTTTATTTTAGTTACTGTATTTTACTGTCAACCTACTAAAGAAGTTTTGACTTTTATTTTGTCTCTGTTAGCCAATAAGATCTATATTAAATCACCTGGGCTAAAATTGCATATTTACCCTTATGAAATGACTGAAATGGTATTTGTTCAGTTACTAAGTAAGTAATCAGATGTTCCCATTCTTAAATTCTTATTTTCCAGAAAACTTTCTGTATTTATCTATTCACTTACTTTGTTTCCTATTTTAAAATGTTATTTAATTACATTCATTTTGTTGAAAAGGTAGAGATCTTTACTCCCTAAGTGCCCCAACAGTCAGGACTGGGACAGGCTGAAGTCAAGAGCCTGGAACTCAATCCAGGTCTCCCATCTGGGTAACAGGGACTCAGATATTTGAGACATCACCTGCTGCTTCCCCTGGTGTATGTAAGCAGGAAGCTGGAACCAGAAGAAAGGCTGAGATCTAACTCAGGCACCCTGATAAGGAATGCGGGTAGCTTAACTGCTGAGCCAAACCTCTGTCCTCATACCTTTATTATAGAATATCACATTAAAAATCGCAGGCATGGGGTCGGCGCTGTGGCGTAGCGGGTAAAGCCGCCTGCAATGCTGACATCCCATATGGGTGCTGGTTCGCCTCCTGGCTGCTCCACTTCCAATCCAACTCTGCTATGGCCTGTGAAAGCAGTACAAGATGGCCCAAGTCCTTGGGCCCCTGCACCCCACGTGGGAGATCCGGAAGAAGCTGCAGGCTCCTGGCTTCGGATCGGCGCACCTCTGGCTGTTGTGGCCATTTGGAGAGTGAACCAGCGGATGGAAGACCTCTCTCTGCCTCTCCTCTGGTGTAACCCTTTCAAATAAATAAATTAATTTTAAAAAAATCAAAGGCATTTGCAACTCAAATGTCTGAAACTGTACTTATATCTCTATAAAAGCTACTGATTAGTAGGAAACCAATTTGTTTTTTTAAATTTTGAAAACATGAGTATGTTTTCTTTTTAAACAGTTTTCATGTCTATTTAAATTTAGTTTATAGTTTTCCACAACTTTGCAGGTTCTAGGGTTAAAAGTGACACTGAAAGGGGCCAGCGCCGCGGCTCACTAGGCTAATCCTCCGCCTAGCGGCGCCGGCACACCGGGTTCTAGTTCCGGTCGGGGCGCCGGATTCTGTCCCGGTTGCCCCTCTTCCAGGCCAGCTCTCTGCTGTGGCCAGTGCAGTGGAGGATGGCCCAAGTGCTTGGGCCCTGCACCCCATGGGAGACCAGGAAAAGCACCTGGCTCCTGGCTCCTGCCATCGGATCAGCGCGGTGTGCCGGCCGCAGCGTGCCGGCCGCGGCGGCCATTGGAGGGTGAACCAATGGCAAAGGAAGACCTTACTCTCTGTCTCTCTCTCACTGTCCACTCTGCCTGTCAAAAAAAAAAAAAAAGTGACACTGAAAGATATTTATTTTTATTTCTGCCTCCTAAGGTTTGCATTGGCAGGGAGCTGGGATTGGGAGGCAGAACCAGGTATTAGACCCAGGTCTTTATGGGGTGGAGGTCTTAACTGCTAGGCCAAACAATGGCCCCCTAAAGTATTATTTTTACTTTTA